TATTTTATGAAACACCCTGTATATATTTTGTAAAAATCTCAAAATATGTAAAACAACAAAATAAAATATACGTGTTTAAGAGTTTTTTCGAAAAACTCACCAGTTTTTAAATAAAAAATATTCTAATATTTGAGGGTGGTTTCACCCCCTTAGAATTTGAGTTTCGAAAAATCCCTTCTTATCGCACCTCTACACCCTAAAGTCAATCCGTTTTCCAAAAATCAGCTTTTTACGTCAAGGGCTTTAAGCAGGATCGTGATTAATCAATGACCAGATTTTTCAAAACACCCTGTATACATTTTTAAAAAATCTTAAAATATTATTCTGAAAATTTTTCAGAATAAATAAATACTTAAATATTGAAACTTAATAACAAAGTATTGAAACATACAGCGCCATAATATCTCGACCTCCGCCCGTTATGCTCGTAACAGGTTGAAAAACAATATGTATCTAAAACAACTGATGCGTTATTCTCCAACCTGTTTCAAACCTCCGATTATCTCGAACGCCGTTCTGTTATGCTCGTAACAGGTAAAAAAACAACATAGCTAAAACAACTGATGCGTTATTCTCCAACCCGTTGCGAGCCTCCATCGACAATCGACCGATGCAGCAGCGCTCCTTTCCCACTCCTGTTATCTCGACAGCCAGGCGTTATGCCCGCAACTGTTTCAAAAAAGCTGCTTCTTTTATATCCTATTATTTTTAAGCTGTTGTCAGCCCAACACGACGCGCCGCGCCGTAGCGCATACCCCACTCCGTTGTCCGTTGTATCTCGCCGCCTGTATCGATGGTTGTCGAAATAATAGGTTTTCCATCCATACTAGTTGTTTTTTGGAATTGCTTCGAGCAGCATCGAATTTCGTGGCGGTGCAGAGCGCCGACTTCGTTTCACGAACACTCGATCTCTGCGTGTCGTTATTTTATATCTGTTATTTTTTAAAAGCAGTAACGGTTGCGTTATGTTATTTCTAAATAATTGTTATAAAATAACAGATAGTTAAATAACAACCCATCACTACCGTAAAGTAGAGATTTCGGTAGACGGTTTTCTTGCATCCTGCATACGTGACTAGCCCATCTTAAGCGGGATTTAGTAGTCATTTCAGCGCTCTCGCAGCGCTCTTGAGACATGGTGGAACCATTTGATTCTTAACAGCTATCTAAGGTGTCTCCGTTGCAACTTGTTTAATGCGATAATGGTACGGCACCTCCAGATTTCGCTTTCATATAACATGGTGAGGATTATTATTGGTCGGTAAACTGCAAGTTTCGTTTTTATACCCAAGTCATAATTGTAGATGTAGGATACTACCATCTTTATCTATGTCAATTTATCTTATATTTTCAAGATACCAAGATCGTTATGCCACATCCGAAATTTTCATATTTGCTCGGCATGTTTAATGAAAATGTTTCGTGGGTGAAATAACGATACATTTAAAAAATATTAAAAAAACACAGCTGGTGAGTAGCAAATCCAAAATTGAAATTTTGTAAAAAGATAATGACCAGATTAATTTCCAAAAAAAAACTAGTTTTTTACCTAACATTTTGTTAAAATAATTTGTTAAAACTTTTTTTTTCTATCGTAGGATATTTTTGATCAATAATCTTGGTAGGTCACAATAATCTTTATAGTGGTTTCCTAGAGACTGTTCAAGTGGCTGGCCGTGGCTCAGCGGCAAGTGTGTCTGACGCTGTCCAGAAAGTACCGAGTCCGATCCCCAGCCGGTACGGTCGCTCTGTTTATTTAAATAAAAATAATTATTTATCTGAATAGAGCAACCATCGGCCGCCACCTCACGGAAGAAATTGGCAAATTACCGTGAGCATACTAGCTTAGAGCATCCTCTCAAACGGCTCCGTTCGGTCACGTGCCGAGAGGTTGCCTACGCTCTATACAGAGTATGGCTTTGTAAGAACAAGTTTAAGCTTCAAAGACAAATCTCCTGACAGTTTTTATTTTTTTAACTTCTAGAGAAAGTTTTACCTTGTCGTAAAGGTTAGTAACGAAACCGCGAAAAGTCATTTTCCCGAAAATGACAATCAGCAATTAGATCTTCATAACAAGCGGATTAAATTCTCAGATGATAGAGACCCATGTTCATCAGACAGTTTGACTCCAGTATGTATTTTTTTTAGTTTATTTTTTAGTATATTATATTTTACATTTCCATTATTGCAATTTGAGGACAACGTCACTTCAATTCAACATCTAAAAATATAAATATTGACAACAATTACTAAAAACAGAATTAAATAAATGTTTATAAACAAAAAAGTACTTTCACTAAACATTATCTTTTAAGTAAGAATTTTACATAGAATCTTTCAAGTCCTCGGTGGCCGCGTGGTTAAAGCGTTAGGACTTTACGCTGCTATGACGTTGGAGCCGTAGTAAGGCAGCTTCGAATCCTAGTCAAGGCGACTTTTTTTTAATCGTTTTTTTTTTAATTTTTACATATTTTTACTTTTTACATATTTATTATTGATTAATACAATTTTTAGTAATGCGTTTCTTCATTTTTTTTTAAAAAAAGTTTATGGTAATATAGTGTCTAATGTTGTATAGATAATGAATGGTACGGAACCCTTTGTGCGCGAGTCCGACTCGCACTTGACCAATTTTTTATTGTTCGTTTCTGGATAATCGTTTTAATTATTATTTTCTTATGACTACGTTTTGTTTCAAATTCAGTGGCGATATTCCCAAAACTGGGTGTATAACCTTTCATACATATCTTAATATTACTAATTAAATTATTCTACTATATTATGATTTAAAATTCAACCGTTGATCTTCTCAGAATTATACAGTAATAAATCGACCATAAAGCTGTAGACATTATTTACGTTTCCATTACTTCAAAATCTGGATATATACCCACTGAGACAGGACACCGTAAAATATTAAAATCTTTATTTTATGTAATGCCGGCTCTACACTCGCACCAAGATTTGCTCGCCGAATATCTCAGCGAAACAACCTCAGCTTCAACCTCAGCTGGCGAGGCGAGTAAAGCCATAGCGAGTCGATGCATCTTTGCACACTCGCTATTGGCATATCACAGCGAGAGTGTAGTGCCGGCTCTAACTTTCTTTAGCAATTCAGTGTTGCATATTTAAATGTACGATTGCATATGTGTCCATAGATCCTAAACCCATTGCTTTTTTACATCAGATAAATCTTTTGATTTTATAACTTTTGTTTCAGTGGTGATATACTCAGATTTCAGTAAGGGAGGATTTTTTGACACTCCCTCTCTCTGTTGAGATGTCGTGTGATTTGTCTCGAGTCCCTCCCCCCTCTCCTAATCTCACGTGATATTTTTCTTTGTATTTTGAGTATAAATGTATTGGATTTATTTAAATATACCGGGTGCGTCTCAAAAGTGGCTCACCCCTATATTTTTTTTTATTTTTTCAGATAAAACAACGAGATTTGGTATGTTAGTATATGACATAAATTAGGATTGATTGCCATATTCAATTGTTTTCGGTTACTTCCGGTTTCACCGGAAACGACTACAACTTTTTATTTTTAAATGGCACCAGCGATATTTTTTACTTTATTCGATAGAAAATGACACTCTGAATAGAATGACATATCATATGTCAACTTTTGACATTTTCGCATACGGTTATTTGAAATTGTAACCTGCGGTTCATAACGACAATTTGACTCAAAATACCAAGTATGTGGTATCAAATTATTCGTAAGAAAATGCTTTTTCAAAATATGCTAATGAGCCACCATCGTTCCATTTGAAAAAATTGAGATATGATTAAAAATACGATTTAGGCATCTTTTAACCGGCCAGGACAAGACACATTAGACAATCAAATCTATTTTTCCAAGGCTCCTTGATTAAAAATTAGTGTTTTTAACACAGCTATGGCACTCTAGATTGAAATTTAAAATACAATTTGTTTTTGAGAGAATATGTCAAAAGTTGACATATGATATGTAATTCGATTCAGAGTGTCATTTTCTATCGAATAAAGTAAAAAAATACCGAAGGTGCCATTTAAAAATCAAAAGTTGTAGTCATTTCCGGTGAAACAGGAAGTGATCGAAAACAATTGAATACGTCCATCAATCCTAATTTATGTCATATACTAACACACCAAATCTCGTTTATTTATCTGAAAAAATAAAAAAAATTATAGGGGGGAGCCACTTTTGAGACGCACCCGGTATAAACACAATTTGCTTTATCATTATTTTAAAGATTAGTAAAGACTAGAATTTCAGATTGTTTAGATTGTAATCTAATATCACAGGATAAAAATTAAATAAAACTTATGGAATATAATTCATGGATCTTAATATACAGGGTGTTCCTTAATGACATGCTAATATTAAAGCGGGTGATTCTTGGACCTATTCTAAGAAAAAAAACTTCATATGAGTGTATGCCCTAAATGTCAACTAACTTTTGTGATACAGGGTGGTAAATTTTTCTAAAAAAGCTTTTTTCTAATAACTCTGCTGTTACTATAGATATGTTTTAGGAAATTTGAGATACGCGTCTTCGTCACGATTTTTTGTTGTCCATCCAGCCGATGCAGAAACAATTTCCACACAAAAGCGTGACCTCATCAGATTTTGACCCTGAAGTAAAATGACTTTATTTTTTTATGATCGCCAACGTGCGGCATAGCACATGGCACCCAAAGAAGAAAGAAGAAGAGATAAAAATTGTTTAGAAATGAATGAATATTTTGAAAATAATTTTTATTTTAAGAGAAGTCAGTGTTAGTGTTATTATGAAAAAAAAAATTACCACCCTGTATCGCAAAAGTTAAGATGATTAGGACATACACACCATTTTTGCTCCAAAAAAAATGACGTGATATTTGCCTAAACCGTGACATTTACAGAGATTTGCTTTGAACCCTCCCCCCTTAATCCACTCACGTAATTAATGGACGCCCCTTTAAGAACTCGCCATAAAGGTGTTGCAAATTTCTAACATTGTTAAACTTTATAGGACTATTTGGTTACCGAAGTTTCTCTGAACAAATCGGCACAGTCGCCATTTCCTAACTATAGTTTTGCATCGTACGAGGACTATTTCGACCAAAAGCATTCCGTCAAACTTGTAAATCCATCGCTGCCTCTTCTTTTTGTGAAAGGCTTAACGAAGAAGACGAACTTTATAAAGCCTTTAGGCGAGTTGGCCAAAAGGAAGAAGGAGAAAAACTACGACTTTTTGGATATCCATTTGATACCTGAATTGGTAGTTAAGCAAGATTTTCCATCGTCTCTTTGGATTCAAGCTAGCTTGTTACCAACTATTATTTCCAGGTAAAGTGTAATTTGTAAAACTAGGCGGCTATCACATCAACAATACGTGACGCCGGCGATACCGCGACATGAAGTAGCTTTTAAAGGTGGATTTTCCACGGTTTTGGTCCGTCAACGGAGAAAGTTAAAATCTTAGGTGATATATACTTACGTGAATATATCAACGCCATAAGATAAACATTAGAAAGGGTGTTTTCCTCATCACAAGATGCCAATTTTCATACCTTCTTTATTGCAATTGACCGAGTTGACGGATGTTTTGACAACTGTAATCTAACCATACATTTTTGAAGACATTTGCGGCATTAAACGCTATCGGGAAATGCTTATTCTCTTTGCAGTTTATATATAATTTTATATTTTTAAGAGTAGTAAAAAATTACTGTTTAAGTTGTGTGCAGCTTCAAAGACGACAAATATTACAAAATACATTGTTCTTGTATCTTCTATTATTACAACAAACAAAAAAACTAAATAGGTTTCAATAACACATTTACAATTAAAAGAAAAAAAATGTGTTTAGTTAAAATACCCTACTGGTCATACAATTTATGTGGTCTGGATTTTAATGCGTGTATATATTATTAATTAATACGCCATATTATTATATGGCGCATTAAGAGTACATATGATATCAATAAAATTAAAAAAATAAATCAGTACAAAAATACAAACTATTCAAAAATCAACAATCAGATGTGTAAGAGACATATCACAATGTTACAGTAAAAACGAACAATTTACACTACAAGATTTAGCTCTGCGATCCATTCTATAGCATCCAGGTCAGCCTCATGAAGACGATTTAAAGAGAACTGCGCCTTTGTTAACGGGCACTCTGTTGCTGATATGAAAAGGAGTTTGTTCAGAATGTCCGCAATCGCAGTTAGAGCTGTCGGTTAGTTCCCATTTGTGTGTCCAGTAACGGGTTCTGCCATGGTTAGTTCTGAACCGATTGAGTGTTGTCCACGTTTTTCTTGGCAAGTTGAATCCGGGAGGGCAGAGTACTGGGTCAGTTATCAAGTGATGAAGGTCAGGATTATTTTGTGACCATTCAGTCTCGCCAGAATTCTTCAACCCGAAAGTTGGAATTTAGTAACTGCTGCCCTAATACCCATGGCGGTTTTCTGGACTTCAGGCGATGCAAGAAATTTTCGCAATCATCATCGATGGGAAGATTGCTGATGCATTTTTTCCAGTCTCTGACTAAGGCCGCCTGTCTTCTCAAATGAGGGGGAGTAATGTTTGATAATATGGGAAGCCACTGGATCGGAGTGCTTCTGATAGTGCCCGTTATAATTCTCATCGCGCTGTTAAGACAAGTGTCAATAAGATGAGTATGATTGCTATTTATCCAGACAGGGCAGCAATATTCTGCCACCGAATATGTGAGGGCCATTGTAGTTGTTTTAAGTACCCTGGCGTTTGCTCCCCAGCTGCTACCTCCGATCTTGAGCAGTATATTATTCCTAGTATTTATTTTTGCAGCCGTCTTGGTGAGGTGTGGCTTGAACGCGAGAGACCGATCCATTGTGACTTCTAAGTACATTAGGTGAGAGTTGTATTTTACCAGTTGATCCCCAAATTTGACTTGCGGTACATACTTGGCTTGTAAGTTGTGAAGATGAAAGCATGAAATCTCAGTCTTAGCAATGTTGCCAAACATTAATGCGTGTGACTAAACGACCGGTTGACAGACAGAGAGATAAAATCAAAAGCGGTCTACAGTGTTGACGGTTTTTTACGTTTGTAGGAAAATGTGTGTAGAAAATATAAGCTATTTTAAAAACTTTTATGTATACTACTGAAATGATAATAATACATCTAAACTAAATATAATCTGTTATAGCTGTAGTAAAATGAATAACTAATAGTGAAAAATATAGTTCCAACTCTAGATGCAACATTTTTCGTAAACGCCTACTTGTGCGGTTTGAAATCTTGATGCAAAATCTGGCAATACCGCATAAAAGAAATGTGTCGACCCAATTTTTATCTCTTTTTAATACATTTATTTGATTTTCCATTAAGCTGTCTACATCACTGTCTTACACGTTAAAATCCAGACCGCATAGTTTCGATGACCAAATCGGTATATGTAATATACTGCCGTGTTAACGAAAAAGTTAAGATCTTTCTTGTTTATATTTGTAAATAAGGCAGTCGTAAATAATGAAACCATCAGATTTATACTTGAGATGAAACTATGTATAATTCATTAAATTGGCAAAATAATCAGAAAAAAAGGAGAGAGATTTTGCTTCCCATTTAGTTGTAAAATGCCTTAAAGTTTTTAATGTCGCACTTGTAGTTAAGGCGATTTTCTACACGGCAGTACATCGTTCAAACTTTTTTCCAATATGATTAACTTTCTAGTTTTATATAATTCAAGTACTGTTTTAGATTATCCTTCATGTTTCGCTTAGAACTTCTCAGATCCAAAATAGCTACCGAGACCAAACTAGGCCAACCCGTAGTTATGAATAAAAAACCCCTAGAATTGGATAGGCACTTGCTGACGTACGAACCGCGTTTGGAAAAGCCGAAAACATCAAACGTGCTGGTTCCTGACACGAACGAAGAACCCGTCGCGCCTGCTCTAACTAACATAAACGTTAACAAAGACTACACCAAGAAAATGCTGGAGTTGGAGTATCCTTGGAAGGATTCTGAGGAACCCAAAGATATAGAGAGAAATTTGAACGTTACTGTTCTAGAAGTGGATTATTACGAAAAGTTTATATCTAAGCCCACTTGTGACAGTGAAAGGATGCTGAAAAACCTAATTCCGATGAGGCGGCAGCAACAGCAACTTGCTCTTACGTATTTAAAGGATTACGTCGAGAAACCAATTATGTTGTTGGAAGAGAAAAGTTTGGATGAAGGCCCTGAGCTTTGCGTACTTTACAAAGCCATGACCACGGCAAAGGCTAATGACATTGTCAATATGGAGCGGTTAGAGACTTTAGGAGACTCGTTTCTGAAACTGTTTTCATCAGTAAGTCGAATTTACAAGGAATGTTTTTTTTTTTAAAGTTCATATATACCGGGTGGTGCCTCGTCGTTGGAAAAATAGAAAATCTCACGCAAATTTTGAACTGTCCAAATATTGGCTCCCTTGTTAGTTTTACAGTGAAGTTGTAAATAGCTTTTTTAAAGGTCTGCGTATGCTGAATACACATGCCAATTATGGACATGCCGATATTAAGTAATTTAAGAAAAACTGCATCTATTTTTAAATTAAAACTGAACAGGTAACAATGCAAAACCAAATATCAATATCAATATCTTAAGTTGTCAACCTACGCTTTTATTATTGTCAAATGTAATTGTTGTGCTGTCTACACTACTACGTTGTACCTACGGTTAGTGTCTCCTTTTGAATAAAAAGATTAAGGAAGAAGCATATTAAAAACCTTAGATCCAACGCGACGGGGTCCTCAAATGGCCGACTTAAATTCCGGTTTATGAGTGCCGTTCTAATTTTATTCAAAACGTGTAAAAATATGATGTAGGGTAGACTCAATAATTTGTTGTTTTATTTTACGTTGTCAATAAATTTGGTAGTTATTAAAATAATTATAAAAATACACAATTCTAATAAAAATAGATACTTTATAATAATTATTATACAAACATCCGATACGCTACTGAATCAGGTAACTCAAATTGACGTATCTAAATTCATTCTAAATTCTTTGACATCTAATCTTTGACAAGTGTTAAATAAAACAAAAATGCAAGAAAAAATATATAATTAGTTAATTTTAAGTGAATTTTTCTCATAAATGATCGGTTTATTACATCTATATACAGGGTGGTCCGAACTGTATTCTGGAAACTTCGGCAGCATATTCTGCAGATAAAAATAAGTAAAAAAGTTCGTATAAATGTATGTCCTAAAATGCTTAGTTTCGGAGATACAGGGTGTAGAATTTTCATTTTTATTTCGTTTTTTCTAAATAATTTCTGAAGCAACGTCAATATTTGGATGAAAAAATTGGTGTCTGGGAGTTTTGTGACACGATAAATTTGATTTTGATGTCAAAATGACTCTTATTTGTAGGGGGCGCCACCTACATGCGTTTTGACTGTTTTGAAAAGTAATAACTTTTTTTCCGTACCTGTATAAAACTAATAACTAAAAAAATATAAATTTCCATGACTTTTTACATAAAAAATGTCTCTTGGTAAAAATCGCTACGAACAACCGTTCTCAAGATATTTAGAATGGAAATAGTCGATACATGTCATTATTGACAAAAAATCAGCACACGTTGAGTATAGTTATTTGACTGATATAATACATTTTTATTTTTTTTAAATTAATCATAAATTTTTCTGCGAAAAAATGATGATTAAACAGTTTCTCTTGAACTTTTGGCACAAAAAGATTTGAAATTTATGATTTCAGTCTAATAACTATTTAGTCAACATGTTAACGCAGTCAACAGAGTCAACATGATAATTTCGATTCCAAATATCTCGAGAACCATTACTCATAGCGATTTTTACCAAGAGACCTTTTTTATCTAAAAAATATAGTAAATGTATATTTTTTACTCAGTCGTTTTATACAGGTATGGACGAAAAGTTATTACTCTTTAAACCAGTTAAAACATATGTCCTCTACGAGTAGGAGTCATATTGACATGAAAATCAAATTTCTCATGTTAAAAAACACCCAGACACCAATTTTTATCCAAATATTGACGTTACTTCATAAATTATTTGGAAAACATCGAAATAAAAATGAAACTTCTACACCCTGTATCTCCGAAACTAAGCATTTAAGAACATAATTTATACGACCTTTTTTACTTATTTTACGAAGTTTCCGGAATACAGGTCGGACCACCCTGTATATTATAGAGTTACTAGCAAAGAGTTAAGAGATCTACCGCACGCTACACAACCAACTATTTTACAGTCTTTTTTGATAAATCGAAATAATGTTACTGTTAATATATCGGGTGGTCCGAACTGTATTCCGGAAACTTCGGCAGCATATTCTGCAGATAAAAATATGCAAAAAAGTTTGTATAAATGTATGTCCTAAAATGCTTCGTTTTAGAGATACAGGGTGTAGGAGTTTCATTTTTATTTCGATTTTTGATGAAAAATAAACACGTTGAGTAGATAGTTATTTCACTGAAATAATAAATTTGAGAAATTTTTATTTTTTTAAATTAATCATAAATTTTTCTGCAAAAAAATGTTGATAAAACAGTTTCTGTTGAACTTATGACACAAAAGCTTTCAAATTTATGATCTCAGTCTAATAACTATTCAGTCAACATGTTTAATGTATGTCACTGATGACAGGTATTGATAATTTCGATTCCAAATATCTCGCAAACCAATACTCGTAGCGATTTTTACCAAGAGACATTTTTCACGTAAAATGTCGTATCCAAATCAAACGTCGTAAATGTATATTTTTTTACTCAGTAGTTTTATACAGGTACGGACAAAAAGTTACAACTCTTCAAAACATTTAAAAAATGTGTAGGTGGCGCCCTCTACTAGTAGAAGGCATATTGACATCAAAATCAAATTTGTCATGTCAAAAAACTCCCAGACACCAATTTTCATCCAAATATTGACCTTGTTGCAGAAATTATTTGGAAAAAAATTAAATAAAAATGAAATTTCTACACCCTGTATCTCCGAAACTAAGCATTTTAGGACATACATTTATACGAACTTTACTACTTATTTTGATCTGCAGAATATGCTGCCGAAGTTTTTGGAATACAGTTCGGACCACCCTGTATAAGTTCTGTCGCAATTTCCTTCTAGATTTACTACCTTTAAACTATTATTAGTAGGAGAATAAATAATATATAACAAAATAAGCTCAGTAAAGACTGACAAATCCACAAAATTTCAAATCAAAATCTAATGTGTCAATTGAATTATCAAACAGAACTGTCAAGGATTCCAAACTTAAGATCCTCTCTACATCTACCATGCATAAATACGTGGATAGCATTATACTCATTCCTTAATCTTTTTATTCAAAGGTGTCTCCAAAATGCATATTTTGTAATTAAAAACTTGTTCGAATTAGGCAAAAGCCCAACTGTATAGAAAATACGACTTGACGTTTACAAATAATACGTTTGCGACTTAAGGTATACTGACATTTGCCTGTTTTTGCATTGTTTCCTGTTCAGTTTTAATTTAAAAAGAGATGCAGTTTTTCTTAAATTACTTAAAATCGCCTTGTCCAAAATTGTTCAAATTTAGCAAGTGTTTTCAGCATACGCAAACCTTTAAATAACCTATATACGACTTTGCTGTAAAATCAACAGGGGAGCCAATATTTGGACAGTTCAAAATGTACATGCGATTTTCTATGTTTCTAACGACGATGTAATATATACCAATCGGTATATATTTTAACAGAATCGACACTGAGCACTACTAATAATTGCTGATTTTAATTAAGAGTTCTGTTGAGCTTTTATTGTCTTTATTCAATGCATTCTTAGGATTATTATTATTATAATTATATAATATATTAATATTTGACTTCCTGTTGACCAGTGGCGTTCGTTGTTTTTTTCACATTATATGCCCATAAGCCCATCAATAATTTGCTGGTTTTGTTTTTTATTGAGTCAATAAATGTTAATAATTAACATTTAAGATCGAAAAATAATATTTCTAATAAAGTAAATAAATTAATGTATGTAATTAAAACATACAATAATAAATACACACACCGAAAAAGTCTAGGGATATTACAATTTTATCCAGCCATCGTCAGTAATTTTATTATTTGCATTTCTGATATAATAAAATTAAAATAAACAAATAGTTTACAGGACGGACGTATTGGAAATAAAAATGCGAAATTTACCGAATTTTTCAAATTTACCTTGATTTTTATTGAACTCAAAAAATGCACACATTTTTTTTAATTCTAAACTGTGAATTAAAAAAAAAGAAGATAAAACCATTTTTACTTAATAAAGGGTATGGCCTCCTCTACTGTTCATTACAGCCCTATATCGTCTCTCCATGCCCCTGATCAGGTTGTCGATCTCTTCTTGAGGTACAGCCTGCCACGCTGCATTCACGGCCCGAACCAGATCCCTACGAGTTTCACGAGGCATACCCATTCTGAAAATTCTTCATTGGACCGAGTCCCATACGTGCTCGATGGGGTTGAGGTCAGGAGATTGTGCCGGCCAGGGTAAGATGTTTAATTGATGAGCATTGATAAACTCACTTACCACTCTGGCTGTATGAGGCCGTGCATTGTCATGCATGAGAATGATGTTTCTCCCAAAATCATTGGCATATGGTAACACGACAGGCTCAAGAATAAAATCACGATATGTGATTCCTGTTAGAAATCTTTCAAGAAAAACGAGATCGGTTTTTCGGCCTAACTAGACTCCTCCCCAGACTATAACTGTTCCACCGTGATAAGGGTGCACTTCCTGAACATGATCCAACCGAATAACATTTCCCGGTTCTCTCCATACCCTAAGCCTTCTCGAATCCGGATGAATTCCAAAGCGTGACTCATCCGTGAAAAGAACATTGACCCATTGTTCATTCGACCACTGAACATGATCTTGAGCCCACAAATATCGTACATCTCGATTTCCTCTCGTTAAGGGTTGAGCTCTCCAGGGGCGTCTGCTTCTTAAGTTGTCCTCTCTTAATCTATTGCGAACAGTGTCAGGACTAACGGTTATATTATGTGTTTCCTGGAGAATTAAACTAAGCTCTGGTGCTGTAAGAGTCGGTCGGCGTCGAGCATTTAATTGTAAAAAATGATCTTGCTGAGGGGTAGTAATGCGATGTCGCCTTGTGTGCCTTTCAGCAACATCACCACTTTCACGGTAGCGTGCATTTAATCGCGATATTACACTTTGCGTTGTATTTAATGCTCTAGCTACGTCGATTTGGCGCATTCCAGCTTCGAGCATACCCATGGCCCTTAGCATTTCGTCTCTGTTAAGATGTCTTCGCTCCATAATGTCGTTTAATACTAAACAGAGTTATTTGAATGAATTCTGGCCAGTAATCATAAAAACATAGCCAGTACAGGTTAAATTCGAACAATTGATGCTAGGTGCTTTTTATACATTTGACAAAAAATGCACAAACACTTCTGCAAATATTCCAAATTTAGAAATAACTATTGTGACTACTTCGTTTCAATCGAAGTAGAAAGAATCGGCCTACAAATATGTGGTTGTTTATTCAAAACATTTATTTTTAACTTTTATAAAATGATATCCCTAGATTTTTCCGGTGTGTGTATGTCTAGAAACGCTACTGTAACAAATATGCAAATTTCATAAACTTGGCATGCCCAAGTTATTCTTCTCACTTAACATTATTCGAGAACACTTCAGTTTTTTTTAAAACAGATACGTCTATAAAAACCGTTGACGTTTTATTAAAATGGCATTATATCAGGTTTTTTTCGACATCATAAAAATGTCCATGAGGAATTTTTGCTAAAAAATTGTTAAAGATTTAGATTTTTCCTGTTGGGAAATTTTTAGTGCTGTAAGTTCATTCTTCTGTAGTAATCTGAAAATTTGTTTGAATCACCACGTATATTGAGAAAATATTTTAAAAATATGCGGACTATATTTTATAAAACAAAGAGACATTTCAAACCAGAAACCTAATAGAAACATTTTAGGAGCGCTAGGTCACCCTGTATAAAGACAATGAAGTCCTACACAACTCTTAATCGTTTTTCGTCACTTTTTACCACTTCCAACCTAACATTTAACGCATCATTTTATTGTTGTTTTTTAGATGTATATTTACTTAAAGTTTCCCAAATTTAATGAGGGCAGTGCGACCCAACTGAAGGGCCGTCTGGTCAGCAACATAAACCTGTATTATTTGGCCAAGAATAAAAATATCGCCGGCATCATGAAAGTGAACGACCTTCAGATGGTCGACTGGCTGCCTCCAGGTTAGAGTTAGGCTAAAACGTTAATTCCCATTTACAGGCACTATGAACGTTATCTTTTATTCGTTGTGAAAATAACCTGTGAACGTGAATTTTTCAGTTAATGATAATTTTCGCATTTAGGGTTAGTATGCTGTTGCCATGGGGAATTTGCTTTGCAGTTAACTTGCACATCATTGTTTCACAATGAGATCTATCGATTAAAAATATTTTCAATATGGCGGCACTTTCGGAAATACCGGAAGTTGACAGCAACTTTCTTATTTTAAATGGATACACCCATTTTTTATTACATACTAAATTCTCTACAAAATTTTATGAATTTTTATATCAAACTAACATAGGTATTATACAATAACATATGGTAATCGCAAAACAATTTCCGATCAACATCAACTTTGAGTGACAACCGATGGCGACAGCGCTGCCAGATTGGGATGGATTTATGAGACGAATCTTAATTTAAAATTGACAAACAACATATTTATTATATCATTCTTTAAAGAGTTTTACGTTTTATTTTTAATTTAATAACTAATATGTTAGTGAGATTAATTGATGTATTTGTTTTATAGCTTATTTTACTTATGGCATATTGGCAAAAACTAGTCCATTATGAAGATTATTATAAGCTTTATTATGGGTTATTTATTTATTGATCTACATCTTACAACGCCATAAGTGGTAATAACAAGTAAGAGGGTGAGGGTGCTATTAATGCACACTAATAATCACAGAATTTAATAAAAACTAAGTTTGAAAGTGGTATAATGTGCTTATCAATCAAACTCACTTTTCTGACTGCAGTCTAGGGTAATAAAGGGCCTTTATTGGTCACGTTCTCGTTCAAAATAGTTTTAAAAAAACAGGGAAGCTACAAGTTCTTTGCCTCAACTGTTTAAATGCTTCGGTATATTTTCAACACACAATTTCAAGAAATGCAATACAAAAACTCGAAAATTTAGTTCTTAAAAGAACTGTTTGCTTAAAAGTGCAATTTAAAAAAAAGACTATGAAAATAGGCAAAAAAAACGAGAATTACTCACAAAGATTCAACAACAACACGATATTATACAAAATAATGACTGACACTAGGATAATTGTCAAATAATAAAGGACAACATTGCTGAACACGGCGCAATGTGACCAACATAGCGATAATAGAATTCGGTTTGAACTAATTTTTGCAGCTTTAATCTAAATAAAATATCTGTGACAATCATTTGCTCTTAAATTCAACAACAAATTTACACATTTTTGCCAAAATTTAATTTAGTCAGGTTTATAGACTTTAGTGTCAATGTCGATATGATTGATGACGTGCATCGGAAAATGTTTTGCGATTACAATAGGTAGTTTAATCAGTGCGTAAAAATATAGTGAATTATGATTTATAATTGAAAATTTTATATTTGCACTTGCGAACGTTTTAGTAGTTTATTTTTAATAATAGCTGTTAGTTGCTACTTTGATTTCACTGTGAAAAAATGGCAGGTAGTGATTTTTTTTCCATTTCTTAGGTTTTAAGATACCCGATGTCCTGGAGCAACGTATCACCGCTAAAGAAACCTCCTTAGCCTCGATTTATCGTTTCTCCATTCCCGAGGACGAACAGCAATCCGGTGTTCTTTCTGACAGTACTATTCAAAATATGATGGACGAACATTCGGACGATGACCCGAGCGAGGAAGGATTGATCAATGATGTCGCGTCCTTCTTCAAAAGTATCTACATCGGCGACAAGAAAGTAGCCGACTGTGTGGAAGCCTTGTTAGGGGCCTACTTTCAAACCACCGGTATAAAAGGTATGTTTTTCTTTTACTATACAGTTTTTGTTGTATGTATGTACATTTTATTTCGTCCGACTTTTAACCGGTTATAACTTTTTATTTTTAGAGCGGTCTGGCCCCGAATTATGTAACTTAGAAAATGCTAAGCACTTTTAGATAGTGATGGGATATCTCGCGCGAAAATTCGCTCGAGTAATCGATTATTGAAATAACCGACATCGCTCGATTATCAATTTATCAATAACCGACATCGATTTCAATTATCAATAACCGACATCGCTCGACGGGCGAAAAACCGTATTTTTAATGCGAGCGAAATTTCGCTTGGACGATAGCTCGATTATTGAAATCGCTTGAAACTCGAGTACTCGATTATTAAAATTAATCGGGTTTTCCAGTCACTACTTTTAGACTTCAGTGCATATGACGTAAATTTTCGCTTAGCTCGCACTTAACTACCGATTTGGGTATTCTCACCGACGCGCTTAGTGTCTTTACTGATTGCGCTAAGCGATTTAAAAACAGCTACCTGAAAGGATAATTTTGCTTGTCGAACTGTCAGTAAAAATATAAAAAATTGTGATTTTGTGCGTTCTCTTGCTCTTTAGTAGAGATGAGCAGAAAATCGCAAACTGCGATTTAATCGCAGCGATTGTAAATTCGCCATCGCAACCTGTGATTCCTTTCCATAGCAAACTGCGACTTGCGATTGAAACATATATCTGCCGATTTTGGATTTTTAGGCAACCAATATTACACCAGTTGCGATTTGCAATCGCAGTGGGCACGCGAACGAAGAGCTGCGAAAGAAAATCACAGCATTGCGATTTTCGTTCGCACCGGCATTGCATCGACACGGCACTGAGAAGCCGAACGATGAGCTGCGAACGAAAATCGCAATATTGCGATTCTCGTACGTCTTCAACACGGCAGTGGACAGGCGAACGAGGAGCTGAACGAAAATCGCAGCTCATCCCAGCATTGCGATTGCGATTTTCGTTGGCACCGGCGCGGCATCGGGAGTGGGCACGCCAACGAAGAGCGGAGATTGCGATTTTCGTTCGCAACTCCCAACACATCGGCCTAGACTAGATCGCAAAATCACATTCGCAATCAGGGCCCCGTAATTTTTATGAAGCGTTGGAAAATAGTCTTATATATGTTTATATACCGCATAATATATATAATTTATTAGTTTTAAATTTTGATAATAGTTTTAGATTTATAATATAATTATGGATTGAGAAGGTTAAAAATTCTTGTTTTCGGTTATGACTAATTATAGTTACAGTTGCTCCCAGGTAATGATTCAGGTAAAATGATTCATAAGGACAGTTTTGGATTCAAATTATAAAAAATTATCTATTTTTATCCTTTATTTACTAGAAGATATAGAGCACGGAAAAGAAACAGCCCTTTTTATTTATTATATTTTGTTATATATTATATTATTATAAACATTTTTATAACAATCCATAATATAATATAATTTTCTGAATATACTAACAGTTGTGGATCGGCTGCTATGTTAATTTAAATACATCCTTTACAATCAGTTTTTTCATTTTAGAGAAATTTTAAATATAATAAAATGTGATATTGTCCTTTTATTTATCTAAAAGTTCGAAAGTTTGCACTTGCACTGGACGGGCCGTATCAAAGCCGTCGGCGTCGGCTTCTTTGAGTTACATATAAAAAGAAAATGTTTTTAAAAGAAAACAAGATAAAATAAACAGTTTTTTCTAGTTATCTGAATTAAGGTTGGCGGCAACCTTTTTATAATAAATTTTTCGTTAGTATACCTACTGTCTAAAAGCACATTCGAATATTTTGAACATTTTATGTATTTTATTTCCCTTTTAAATTTATTCGGTCTGTTCTAATCAAAAATGTTTAAAAAAAGGAAACTAAGTTATTTGTGGATTTTTTTTTGGTAGGTAACACAGGCCGACATGATTTTTGTAACACGAGTCAGTTGCAGAATTTCTTCATAAAAATATGCTTCTAATAACAGAAAAAATACTCCTGAAGCTCCTACACGTACCACTTTTCAGTTGCCTAATTACGCCTCTTTTTTGCAGGTAGTCAATTTTATAGATGTCAGGTATTAAGTCTAGGTAGATTCGTTTACATACAGGTAAATTTTATGATGGGATGATTGAAAGGGCGTTTGTGCACTATAATATATTGTGAAAAACATAAGAGAGTTCAGTTTTCAGTTGATTTTCGACGTGAGTTGTTCTATGCGTGTAGATAAATAGTACGAAAATGTCAAGTCAAACGCGCCGCAGTTGTAAAGTGTCTCCTGATCGATTTTGTTACATTTGTGGAGAATTTATGGTGCAATCACAAGCCAGACCATTTTCTGAAAATGTGAAGAAAGCCTACTTCAAGTATTTTGGAGTTTTGGTTGGAGATCAAGACAAGCAGTGGGCTCCTCATGTGTGCTGCGTTACTTGTAGCGTGTCGCTTGTGCAGTGGATGAAAGGGAAGAGGAAAAAATGCCATTTGCGGTTCCAATGGTATGGCGAGAACCAACTAACCATTTTGACGATTGCTATTTTTGCCTGACGAAAACTGAAGGTTTTTCCAAAAACAAAAGCACAAGATCGAGTATCCCAATTTGCCGTCTGCCATACGACCTGTTCTTCATGGTGCAGATCTCCCAGTGCCGATCGCGCCCTTAGACTGGCAAGGTATTGTTTTGGAAGATAAGGAAGATATTGAATCAAACAGCTCTGGAGACCAGTGTACTGATCCTACCTTTACCCCAGAGGGCGGTTCCGACAAGCCACATTTGATTGTTCAAAGCGAGTTGAATGACTTAGTGCGTGACTTGGGGTTATCAAAGCAGCAGTCAGAACTTCTTGGATCCCGGCTTAAGGAATGGAATCTGTTAGCCAATGAAACAAAAATCACCACTTTTAGAAAAAGAAATGCTCCGTTCTCTGCATTCTACAGTATGGAGGATTCGTTGTGTGCATGTACTGATATCGATGGCTTAATGCAGGAACTTTCTATAGAACATTCTCCCTGTGAGTGGCGCTTATTCATAGATTCGTCGAAATATAGCCTAAAAGCTGTGTTATTGCATAACGGAAATTTAAAACCCTCTATACCAGTTGCCCATTCAGTGACAATGAAGGAAACTTATGAAAATATGCGCATGCTTTTAGATAGAATCAACTACAACAGGTATAAATGGCAGATATGTGGGGACTTGAAAGTTATAGGAATTTTAGTGGGACTTCAGGGAGGATTTACAAAATATTGCTGTTTTCTTTGTTTGTGGGACAGTCGTGCAGTAAATCATCATTATGTACAGAAAATTTGGCCAGAAAGAAGTGAATTTCAACCGGGTTCCCAAAATGTCAAGTATATCCCTCTTGTAGACCCCAAAGACGTCCTCCTGCCTCCTCTTCATATCAAACTTGGCCTCATGAAAACTTCGTGAAAGCTATGAATAAAGAAGGTGATGGATTTAAATACCTAAGGCAAGTCTTTCCCCAGTTGAGTGATGCCAAATTGAAAGAGGGTATTTTTATTGGACCACAAATCAGGAAATTGTTGGACGACACAAATTTCACAGACACGCTTACCAGGCAGGAACTCAGAGCATGGACCTCATTTGTTAGTGTAGTGAGGGATTTTGGGAAACAATAAGAATGCGAACTACGAACAATTGGTTAATGAGCTTTTAGATGCTTATAAATCGCTTGGTGCCCGAATGTCTTTAAAAATTCACTTTCTCCATTCTCATTTGTCATTTTTCCCTGAAAATATGGGTGCTGTCAGTGATGAGCAAGGTGAGAGATTCCATCAAGACATAAGGACAATGGAAATTCGTTATCAAGGACGATGGGATCCAGCCATGATGGGTGATTACTGTTGGTTTTGAAGAGAGAAGACGCGGTCCCTCATAAAAAGGAAAAAGTAAAAGTTTTTGTTTATGTTTTGATCTCGTTTCGATTGTTTTTGTACTTTTTAGGTATAAGTAATGTTTGAGGAGTGTAAACTATAAAATATAATCGGTATATAGGCTTAAGAAGTTCTTAAATCATGTTTTGAATAGCTATCTTAATATATTGAATATTGTAATATTGAATGATGTTTTATTAATGTAACAAAAAAACCTTACGTGTTACGACTTTTTTTTTGCCACTTTCGTGATTAGATAGGTTCATTCTACCACAATATCCTATTGAGCTTTGTGTTACATCGAAAAAATTTTTTTTTGTCGGCCTGTGAATTGATGAAAATTTTAAGTGCAATATGTGTGCAGCAAAAATATCATAAAAAACACGCACTACAAATTTTAAAAGGCACATGGCATCGAAACACCCAACAGTTTCTTTGTAAGTTTTTATTAAAAAAAAATTATTCCGTTATTTATTCTGTTTTTTATTAGAAATTTTGGGATTGAGCTTCCCAGATTACAGCGTACCAATTTTTGCTCATCTCTACTATTTAGTGAAAACTACTTCTACAAATGTATTAATAAGTAATTGATCGTTTACGACTTGGCAGCTATAAATATTGTTCAAAACATCGAAAATGCTGAGAAGCAGAGGCGTATTAACACTTGAAACCGCCCAAAGCCCTGGGATATTTTGGCGCCCCTATTTTTACTCCATCTATTTTTTTCATTATTCAAATGACCCAAATATGAAAAAGCAAAAGTGCAAAACATTTTATTCTCAAACAACAAAAAACATTTTATTTCTCAACGACAAGAAATGATCGAGTTTAGATAAACATAAATATAAAAAAATAAACGTTTAAAATCTAAAAAACATGTTTTTTCTTACCCTTAGTATTAAAAAACAAAATAACCTTATGAAAAAAAAAATTTTCTGGATTTATTTTCTGCAAAGACTTGTATTATTTCGGTTGCGTGCAAGTTTTTAAGTAAATCTGATTCTGTGGACATTAAGGCTAAGTCACTAAGTTTAGAATGATCTAACTTGGATCTCAAATAATTCTTAACCCCTCTTAAAAGTCCAAAACGAACTCTCTCCTGAACAGTTGGTTACTGCCTTGGATATAAACAGCCTTAATGCTATTTCTAAGTTTGGAAATATTCCAGCTAGATTTTCTTACTTAAGTGATTTTAGTAAGATTCTTGGGTCCAGCGGAAAATTCGGAATATATTTAACTTGGAGAATTTCGTTTTCAATAGCTATATCCAGATCATTTTTATAGTTATTGGTCAATTTCAAGCAACCTTGCTTAAGATCTTCATCACTTAAGCAGGCTAGATTGGTAAGAAAACCAAACTCTTTCTCTACTTCTTGGTACGCATCTTTCTTTTTTATGAGTTCATTTATTAATTTATCTATTAAGGGAAAAAATACAGTTATTCGAAATTTCGTTTTTCCGTCTGTAAAATCTGTGTCACATAGACGTTTTTTTCTATCTTCGGTTGAAACTGCTTCTTAGTTTCATTTCATATCTTTTTCGGTAATCGGTTAATGAGGTGCACTTTGTCTTTTGACTGGGAAATGTGGCGCCCTTTCAGATTTGGCGCTACATGCCTTGGCTTGGTCGGCTTGTACTATAATCCGCCTCTGCTGAGAAGCGTCTTCAACATTTCCCTCGTATAATAAGAATAATGACACATCCATAAAAAATAGATTGATATAACTCAACAATGGGTTATGAAATTCACGTAACATTGACATTTTTCATTGTTACATCCATCACTTATCAACTTTTGACTATTAGATACCTGAGAAATTGCGATGCTGGCAATATGTGCTCAACGCGTATCCAGAAAACGATTCGCCAAAATCGACTGCTTGGCCATAGATAAACAAATAAAAAGAGACTGACAAATCTCATGGTAAAGAGTGGGACCGCGTTCCCGTAGCGCAACTCAGAATAACAATTTTGAAACCAATTAGCAGGACCATGGCAGGACGTACGTCTTTATTGCTATCTTTCTTTATTATGTGTGCTTTATATGAAAAAGAAAGAGATAGGTATAAAACGTATCGTAAGACATTATCGCACATTCTGGCTGGTGGAAAATTTAAATTAGCCTTTATTAGTAATATTCTTTCATTCTGAAACTGAAAATTTTCACTTAAACTGATTTATTCCCTATGCCACGTAAAGGGAACGTGGTGTAGGGAATAAATCAGTTTAAGTGAAAATTTGCAGTTTCTTTCAGCAGAAAGAGTACTACTATTATAAGGGAAATTATAAAAAAAAAGCAAAAATTGTACTGTTTTATAAACATATTTATTTATACATAAAAATAAATAAACTTTTTATAATATAATAACAAAAAATAACAGTGTTTATTCCACCCACCTACCAATTTTAAATTCAGAAGAACTGACTGTTGCAGAAAACGATCGGCCAATTTTTTTAAAGGGCATTAAAAATCTAATTTTCGAAAAAACTGCCTAATTGCAATAACAAAGTGAATATCCAAGCAAAGAAGACTTTACGAGAATCATGATCCTGAACCATTTTCAAGACCAGTTTTAATCCTAAAACAAAAGTAAAATAGGTATATTAATAAAGTTTCTGGTTACTATAAACCAGCTATAAAACTACCCAAAAAATGAAAAAAATTAATTGTATTAATTTGTTATGTTAAGAGAGGTTCGAAATATTTTTGACACTACTACTTCTACTTTTTTCTTAATAAGATGATAAATAAAACTACTTACTTTTATTTTACCGGGTGTCTTTAACATATCTATCAGAGAAAGGGGGCACCAATACATATAATAAATAGATGATACTGGCTCCTGCAGCAAATAAAATAACATAGTATAACCGAAAATTATAAGTAACAAAATATAATATGAAACAAAGGAATTTGTTCCCTATCCATATTCATAAGTCAATAAAATGGAGAGTTTAGAAAAAAAGGTAAATCACCAAAAGAAAAATTAACAAACATGACGAATTGTCATGATGTTGTCATCTTGGTTGTCATGATGACGAAAACAAAAGGCGATTGTTCTAATTTCTATTTAGAAATTACGTTTTATATGATTGCTTCTTTCTCTCTTGTTATATTAGAATGAGATAGTGCGCCCAATAGACGCAATGCGCAGATCAACATAAATAGAACGAAATTTTGCGTTCTGAGTTGCGCTACGGGAACGTTGTCCCTCTCTTTGCCATTTAATTTGCCAGTCTCTTTTTATTTGTTTGTCTATGTGCTTGGCGTTCCGCTCATCGAATACTTTCGCTTACCGCTTTGAAAGCATAACGTTTTCATATCTTTATTTATTACATTTTTTAACTTTGACATGAAAACGCTACGCTTTGTGCGTTCTCTAAAGACGGGTTATACAATAAATTCCTCAATAAGTAATGGCTAATTTTATGACTTGGCAGCTATAAATATTGTTTAAAACATCGAAAATGCTGAGGAGCGTCAACATTTTCGTTGTATAATAAGAATAATGACCATAAAGATTTATTTTTTGTTGGCTTCTTTGGCCCTCTTTTGTAAATTTATGGTTAACTAATTCTTGATATTTGGTCTACTTTAAATAATACAATTCAAATAGAATTATAACTTAATTTTTAATAGTTTTTCAGCGTTTTGATCACATTTTTTCAAGGAACTACAATGTAACAATAATAATTTTAAATTATGTTTCTTTACAATATATATTTCGTCATTTACACACATATGTCCAAACATTTAATCACATTAATTGACATTAGAAAATTGATACGCACACACATTTTTAAAAATTACAAATAAAATTTCGGTAAGGTTTATTTCGCCTGTCAATATTCTGACTATACATACTAAACCTTAAACTTATCAATCACACCAAAAAAACTATGTAGAGATTAATATTTTTTTGGTGATGGACAAACTGCATTATTTTAACAAGGATAGATAGATCTTATTTAAATATATCTACGTTCAATGGTAAGTTCATTTTTATCGTCCACTCTACCCTCGTATGTAAATAATAGTATCTATCAATCACATCGACTCGTCGACCGCCAAACTACCTGTTCGTTAACATACTACCGTATGATCGAAAAAAAAAACGGCGTCCAGTTGGCTGGGAAGTGACGATCAATGACATTTTCCTTATAAATTTACATATAAAATGACAGCGATCTTCATTTCATAGCCATCACTGACGCCGTTTTTATTCGATCATACGGTATTATTACGTAGGAAGTAGAGTTCGATACGCTGCCGCTTCGAGATTGAGAGGACCCGTGTGGGCACAATCTAAGCGCGGGGCTTGTTCGGATTATAGAAGCTGACCATTTATTTTCATCTCCGAAGTCAAATTTCACTTAAAGCAAAGAATTAAACAATATTATTGTTAATAGCACTTATTTATTGTAAAAATATTAACCTAGAAAACTTTTTAGGTGGAATTAGATTTATGGAGTGGATGAATATTATACCTCCATCTGAAAATCTTCTAAATCTCATCAGTCGCCCAATTCCTAATCCAGTTCTCAACGATAAAGTCACTCTGAAGGACATAAACAGACACATTCCCAGATGGCAAGATATCGAGGATACTATAGGATACCATTTCAAAAATCCAGCTTTCTTGCTGCAAGCTCTCACCCATGCCTCCTACTCTCCGAATCGGTGTACCATGTCCTACGAGAGATTAGAGTTCTTGGGCGACGCCATACTGGATTTCCTGATAACGTGTTATATATTCGAAACGGGGAATAATTTGGACCCTGGCGACTTGACGGATCTGAGGTCGGCGCTGGTGAACAACAACACGTTCGCGAGTTTGGCAGTCAGGTGCAACCTGCACAAACACTTCTTGTGTATTAATAACCAGCTGCAGGTGCTCATCGATCGCTTCGCTCAATATATTGAGTCGAAAAAATTCGAGATCGATGATGAGGTGTTAATCTTATTGGAGGAGAAAGATGTCGAGAAAAACATAGGGTTGAAGTTGGCAGAATATATCGATGTGCCTAAGGTAAGAAAGGAATATAGGAAAGTGATACGAAGGTATCGGGTTTCTTTTTTTATTTCAAATTTTCACTCCAATCTTTTTTTATAGGCATTATAAAAAATATATACTAAGGGCTGCCAAAGGTTAGTTTTGGGTCGAGATCTCCGTATGCAAGAAGAGTACAATGCGTTTATAATGTACTTAACACAGAGAGAACAGTAAAAACGTTGCCAAACGTATGAAATAAACCGGGAAACTGTGCACATTGCTAAGAGACATGGAAGGGGATATAGCAGATTCGTCGCGGTCGCGCGACTTTTTTGCACTTTTGGTAAAAAAAAGTGGAATTGAGTTGGTGTTCGACAGTGGTTGCGCTATTAGAACCCTGAATTTAAAAATCGATATCTCGAAATCCATTAGAAACAATTGGTTGTAGTTTTTTTCAAAAACTTTCTTAATATTTTTGCTATATTTTCTTCGCACACAGCATGTGAAAATTTTTATAAATAAAAAAGTTACACGATTGCTGAAAATTGCTATGCACTAAAAATAAATGGATGTTTTTTTTAAATTTTTGAATGGAAAAAAGTTTCAATATCTAAAGTGGTTTATGACTTATCGCGTGTTATGTTATAAAAAGTTGAGTTTTTAAATTATCACGATTACTGACGTTTTTTCGTTATAAAAAAATGGACACCAATAGAGGGAGATGGCCGATTCTGCGCCAGGAGCAAGGAGCCGAAAGTGACGCCAGGCGTAAATCAGCTAAGAACATGTAAAATAGGCTAATAAACAAGAATAAACAGGTTTAAACAGGAAACAGTGGCGGATACAGAGGGGGGCCCATGGGGCCCGGGCCCCCCTTAAAATATGTAAATTGTGTTAAATATTATTCTTTTTTGTTAAAAATAGCGCCCTAAAAAGCATATTTTACATTACTTTTTATTTTTTATTAAATCTATTGATACACGCTGCTCATTTACGCCGGTTCGAGGGCAGATGTGACCGGATATCTCGTGAGTAAGAGTCAAATTAGACACTCGCCAAGTCGGTAGGCAATTGACAATGATATGGCCGAGAACCGCGATTCGGATTTTGCGTAAACAAAGTAGGCCCCGTCCAGACCTTGGCAGTATAAATGCGTGGCCCCACATGAGGCGTACGACCTAGCGCAGCGTAGAGCGGAGAGCACCGCGAAGCGTTTAAATACATTGAAGTAAATGGAAGTGGCCCCACATACAGGCGCGGATTGGCGCGTATTTTTCTATTGTCCTATGGGCCACGGCCTAAAGGAGATTAACTTAAAATACTTACCCCCGGTGTTTTCAGGTATATTTAGCGCGTTATAATCCGCCAGATATATTTTATTTGATGGATAGCAGAAAAAAGTGTATCTTCACCTATAGATACCAATATCTATTAGATAAAATAACCTTATCCGTCAGATATCCTATTTGGGACCTGAACTGCCAAATATCGCTTTATTTGTCAGATAAAAAGTTGACACATGAGGAGATTTTGATTTAATTTAATAAAATTGCTTAACATAACCTAAGACATTGTTACTATTGTAGATTTCGTTTATTTCAATAAATTCGATTTTAGATTATTTCGAAAAGACTTACCTATTCTGAGTATGTAGACTATAACCATTTTAGAACCTATGAGGTATAAACACTAATAAACACATTGAAATGGTGCAAAAAACTATTGTTGCTGGTGCCGGACTTTATAAGGAGTGTTACAAAATAAAAGGAGCGTCTGTTAGAGCATCAGAACGAAGAGAATACATTAAGACAGAATAATAGTGATAAAATATGTACAGTTACCGAGTAAAAATATAACTCAACGGTAATTTATACAAAATAAATTATTTTACTTAAATCCCTTCAATTAAAAACCATTACGTACTTAATAAAGCTCTAAAATCAAACTATTTATTTCATTTTTAATTCTCATATCTTAATTCATTAATATTACAACAGGAACCTTAGAAAACCTGTTATTCAATTCACATTTGCTTTTGTTTCTTTTGTGTTACAATTTTAATTTAATTTCTTGCACTATGTACCTTATACTTTATACATCTCTTCTTCATGCTGTTTTTTAAGCAACTCTCTAGCTAAACCTTTTTAAAACACCTCCTTTGAATACCAGTTAGTTCAACTTTTTTACTGTTAAAAGGTGTATTATATCAACTTTGTTTACACAATATTTTTCCTTTATTTTTTCCTGGTTTTTTTGAAGTTCCATCACTTTGAGTTCTTAAAAATAAAAGTAATATGACAAAATTGTTTTATATTTATTTTTTTTATTAAAAAATTTGTACATATGTGTTAATGTAACAATTATTATAGGCGCTCTTAATTTATTATTAATCAAGACAAAAGTATCTAAAATCTCATCTACATATATAAAATGCTAATGTTTATCTGAAGTAACGACTTGCTCTAGAAAGTTGCTTTTTACTAAAATATAGCTAATTGGCTCTTCTAAAAACTCGTCGTCGGATTTTTTGTTTTTCATTTAATTAAAAATAATAATAAGTATTTTTTTCCTGATGTCGCTGTCGTGGCGGATGCTCCAGGCTTCAACTAGTACACCAATAAATGAGGAGATAAAACCGCAGTACTGGTCTTTGGGGTTATATACTTATTCTCAATCTTGCTTTTCTAAAGAAAAATAATATAAGTACATTTATCTATTTTATAAAATAAAAACTCACCTTAATTACTATCATCGATGCTATCCTACCTATTTCTTTATTATGAGAAGCCCTACAACAATACATATTTGTTATTACTAACAGCCTTATGCTATTTTTTACCAGATTGTGGTTTTAGGATTTATCTATAAATCTCAATCTGCTTGCACTTCACCAGTTTCTTCCATATTTTCTATTATCAATGTATTGTACTAAAATGTTAATATAATAAATATAACAGTAATATCATATAATTAAATTATAAATTAAGTACTTACACATACTTTTTTTTCTTGTTTTAATTTCTTATAAATCGCATTCCATCAACAGATCTATTTCACAACTACTGTTGAGACTGATTCCCTTTTTCCATAAAGGTAAAATTAATTAACGTATACCATAATAGAACTGGTCAGAGTTGAACACAAAATATATTTTAGTTGAATTTTATTGTTTTTATTTTCATTTTGACGATCTTTTGACAACTGAACAATAACCTCACTTTTTAATCTAACGATTTGAAATTCCGAGTTTTTGTCTCTGTCTGTTGTATAGACTTTTCATATATAACCACACATCTCAATTTGAGATATCTTATATTGGCAACACTTTCTCTACGGAGTGTCTAACGGTCCGTAGGCGGCCCGTCCTCCAAATTGTTATCTTTTAGATTATTTTGTATGAAAATACCCAAATGTTATATCCTATAGATAGCAGGCTCTATATTGTTTATCCTTTGGGTAGTTATTTGTTAGATAAAAGCTATTTATCTATAACTGAAAACACCGAGCCTTAACATACTTTTGTATATCTAGGAAAATATATTACCTGATATTACCTTTTATATACAGGGTCTCTCAGATTTTAATCGGGAAAATTTAATAGACGATAGAACTTGCAAAAATAAAACAAAAAATTCATATCAACTTGTAAGATTTAAAGCTTCCTTTTCGAGATACAGGGTTACTTAAAAAAGAAAAAAAAATAAGATATTTGAAAAATTATTTAATCGATTTTGATATAACTTGACCCGTTTATAATACTTACTATGGGACTTAATTTGATGTAAATAGATTTAAGTTTAATGGCCAGGGGCGGCGGTGGGGCATCACTGTTAATTTATTTTAAAGGAAAAATAGGCGCGCCACTGCTTTTTTAGAAGTTTAATATTATTTTTGGATTTAGTAATTAAAAATATTATTTTTTTGTCTTCTGACTTTTTTGTCTATCTTGCTTATTTCTTGCGAAAAAATTTAAATTCTGATTGGTAATTAATATTATAATTGGTATTCTAATGGTACCATGTATCTCGAAAAGGAAGCTTTAAATCTTACAAGTTGATATGAACTCTTTGTTTTATTTTTGCAAGTTCTATCGTCTATTAAATTTTCCCGATTAAAATCTGAGACACCCTGTATATTTAAAATATATTTTGTAACAATTTCCTCTTTTAAACAAGAATGGAGTGAAAATACTAAATTAGAAACCTGATACCTATAGAGCCGTTTTCGAAACTTTGATTAATATATACTGGGTGGTCCAAATCGTAATAAGGAAACTTCGGCAGCATATTCTGCAGATAAAAATAAGTAAAAAAGTTCGTATAAGTTTATGTCCTAAAATGCTTCGTTTCGGAGATACAGGGTGTAGAAGTTTAACTTTAATTTAGATTTTTCCAAATAATTTCTGAACTAACCGATATTTGGATGAAAACTGGTTTCTGGATGATTTTTGACATGAGAAATATGATTTCGATGCTAATATATTTCCTTCTAGTAGAGGGCGCCGCCTACATGTTTCTTAAATCTTTTGAAGAGTTATAACTTTTTGTTCCTACCTGTATTACCCTACCGAGTAAAAAATACGTTTTTTTAAGTAGAAAATGTCTCTTGATAAAAATCGCTACGCGTAATGGTTCTCAAGATATTGGGAATCGATATAATCAATGCATTTCATCAAAAATTAAACATGTTGACTAATAAATAGTTGTTAGCCCGAAATAATATATTTCGAAATGTTTTTGTACCAAAGGTTCAATAGAAACTCTTTTATCATATTTTTTTTTGAAAATTTTATGAACTACCTAATAAAAAAAATAAAAAGTTTCCAAATTTATAATTTCAGTCAAATAACTACATAGTCAACATATTCATTTATTATCAAAATAGCATGTATTGATAATTTCCATTCGAAATATCCTGAGAACGGTTGCTGGTAGCGATTTTTACCAAGAGACCTTGTTTACGTAAAAAACAGCGGAAATTTATATAAAGTTATTATTCTTCAAAACAGTAAATAAAGATGTAGCCCCCTACAAAAATAAGAGTCATACTGACATCGAAATAAAATTTATCATACCAAAAAGAACCCAGAAACCAATTTTCATCCAATAATCGATGTTCAGAAATTATTTGGAAAAAATCAAAATAAAACTGAAACATCTACACCCTGTATCTCCGAAATGAAGCATTTCAGGACATACATTTACACGAAGTTTTTTACTTATTTTTGTCTGCAAAATATGCTGCAAAAGTTTCACGAATACAATTCAAACCACCCGGTATAACAAACGTTTCTTAATATCGTATAGTTCCCCCCCCAATAATTATGTTGGATTTCAGAAAAAGTTGAGAAACTTTATAGTTATTCTATTGGCACTTAGAATGCATTTTTATCAAGGGTCGCTCTTTTATATTATTACTTACACCTATTTTTAGGCATTGGGAGACATATTCGAAGCTTTAGCGGGAGCTGTTTATTTAGATTCAAATAAAGATTTAAAGACTGTATGGAAAGTCTTCCACAGGATCATGTGGAAGGAAATTGAAGCTTTTAGTGCAAAGGTACCTAAAAATCTTGTCAGAAGATTATATGAATGGACGCCAGATCCTCATCCTAATTTCGGGTGAGTTTATAATTTATAATTACTTTATCAGGTAGGTATAGTCTGTCCAGTCTGTTCTGCTAGCGTTAAGTGTCATTAAACTAGAAACTTTACTTAGTAACTTGGCAAGCAAGGTAGTAGAGCGTCATCAGGATTTATAGATCCTTGTTTGTGCAATATTATTTGGAATATATAAACAAGACTGTCATTATCTGTCATTCTCCTGAAGGTAAGTTTATATGCATCCGTAATGCGTCGTCCGCTTGTCGTCCGTCGTTCCGTTAGTCCAATCATATTGAATACCTAACAATCATATTCAAGTATGAGCTATCATTTTTGAAATAAACCAATAAAATTACATAAAATCAACGACGGACGACGCATTACGGATGCATGTTAACCCACACTTATTTAGCTTGTGTTTCTTGTCGGTAGTTACGGTTGTCGAAATCTACTTAATAATAATAACATAACCTAATAGAATGTGGAATGTTTAGGAGGGGAGTTAATCACCGCGACCTTACAGATCTATTGTGTGTTTGTAACTTAATAACTTAACTGATATTAAAATACTTGTAAGTTCTTGTAAAATGGGATACGGGGGCAATTCTAAAATACATTGAATAAAAAGATTAAGGAATTGGTCGATTTAGACAGATCGAATATGTCGACTTTCCTTAACCTATAAACCAAATTGCAGCTTTCAATTTTGCCGAATTTATGATTTAACCAAGGCTTATTCAATATCATGTTTTAATTTTTATTTTTAAAACTATTAGATGAGATCAAAATAGTTTCGAAAAATTTAATAATATACCGGGTATTCCATTTAAAATAACGAAGTTAGGAAATGAAGAATGAAGGGAAAACACTGTAACGCTGAAAATTAGACAGATGAAGTAGGCAAAAATTGTATCACAGTTCTCCATAAACGTCTAACCTACCATGGCCGTGAACCACACTGTATAATACAATGTACTGATTTTTTTTAACGTTCTGGTTTAATAATACTTGTCCGCCTAGAGTATATGATTTCAACAGATGACATCCAAAAATTACGTAATAACAATCTACTTTTGTAACTATCATAAATATCCAAAAAATACGTTATTTGGCTGAAATTTAAAAATACATTATTTTAAAAAATGTTTTTTTGTAATTCAATAGTGTACCAATAATTTTCAGACCAGGTAAAATATTTTTTTTACTTTTTTTGCTAGTAAAAGCTGTTTACTGAATTAATTGTTCGGGCTTTTGTTATCAATTTATTAGAATTAATAATATTCTCTAGTATTCTAAAAAAGTAATAATTATTACTTTTTAAAGGAAAATATTTTTTTTTAAATAAGAAGTGGAATGATATAGTTATTTATTAAAATACTTTTGAATATGTTGTTTTTTTTTGGTAATTATTGGAAAGACTGAAAATTGTCCGATTTTCACAGAAATTTGTATATACCCTATTTTGAGGTTGCAGATAACCAATCTAAACTTTTTTGTCGGTCTTTTACCGTTTTCAGAAAAATCCAAAAAGTAACAAAATGTAATTTTTCAAAATTTCTCATATTTGTAAAGTTTTACCGCACATATTTTGTTAGGTATTCAATAAACATTCAGGTTTTTGTTACTTTCTGTTACTTTTTTAGCCAATTCTATGCGTATTAAAGGAAAATTTGCTAAAACAAATTTGTAAACAATTTGAAAAGGTTAGGTCACATGTTATTGTCATTTAAAACCGTTTGCCATATCTAAATTTAGCGGGTACCCAGATTATCAGATTAATAGAGAGGGAAATTATTTTCCACACTTTCCAAACAAAAAAATAAATAAAAAGAAACAAAACAAACCAATTTTTTACCCACAACTAGCCTTTTGTATAATAGAATATAGAATATAAAGTCCTAGTTCCAGCCCCTAACGGGTTCACAAATGAGTATGCGATTGCTTTGGTTTCAGTCTTTTTTTTGCGATTCACTGGTTGTATTAACTTTAAGGTTTGTTATAGCGTTACACAGCGTTTAAAAATCTCTAATCAATCGAAAAAGTACAAGACATAGCAACGTTGTAAATTTTTAGATTTCTAGAATAATTATATTTGTTTCATTGCATAGGAGAGAGAAAGATGGATACGAGAGAGAAAGACGCCTATATGAAATGTCAAAATTCCATCTTGTCTCAATATTCTTTAATTTCACCAAAAAATCCTATATGGGTATTTCTCCACTGCACTGCAAGAAAATCTACAAAATAAAATAGTTATTTTTTGTAAACACTTCTGCGTTAAACCTAAACGGACACTGCTTGTCAGAAGTTATGTTTACAGTTATACAAATTTGCCTAACAAAGAAAAAAATGCTTAACGTTTCGGAAAGTTTATCTCTTTCCGTCATGCGTCGTCGGAAGCAAAAAAAAATATAAAGAATAAAGAAAAAAACTATTTAAAATATTTAAACTCGACTATTCGAGAACACTTTAGTTTTTTTAAAACAGATGCGTCTACAAGAAACCGTTGACGTTCTGTTAAAATGACATTATATCAAGTTAAACTTCAAAATTAACAATTACTACCTGATAACAATTATTTAATAAGGTAAAACCAAAAAGCCCCAAAGTTTCTATATAAACTTTTTTGTATGGCAATTGCTTCTTTGATTTTAAAGAACATAACATAAATAAACATAACATACGTAAAATTTAAAATTAATCATACAGAAAGTTTGGGGCTTTTTCGTTTTACCTTATTAAGTAATTGTTATCAGGTAGTAATTGTTAATTTTAACACAATACATTTTAACAGAGAACGTCAACGGTTTCTAGGTAGGCTATCTATTTAAAAAATAAAGAATGTTCTCGAAATAGATTAATTTAAATATTTTAAATAACTTTTTTTATTCTTAATATTTTCACTTCCGACGACGGAAAGACATAAACTTTCGAAACGTTAAGCGTTTTTCTTTGTTATGCAAATTTGTATAACTAAACATAACTTCTGACTAAGTTCCGTTTGGGTTCTTTACTGCAAAGTGTTTAAAAAAATAACCTATTTTGTAATTTTTCGGTTACAGTCTCAAACCACCATATCGGATGTTTTGGAGAGATGAATCCGCCACATAGGTATAGACATTTTTTACAATTGAATGACACCCTCGACGTTTCGAACCGATACTTCTAAATGGATGAAATAATCAGGATTTTTCTTAATTATGGGTCGATTAGAACCAATCTCGGCACACGGATAGAGGTACCTGAATAGAGGCCTCAGGCGGACAGGCGGACAGACAGAATATGCGCACATAGTGCAGATATTTGAAGTGAAACTACTAACGTTTTTTTTTTGTTAAGACAAGTGTTTTCAGTAAAATTTTGGATATTTTTCTATCCCCAGTCAAGTGTGGCTTTTAGATAAACTATAATATAACGAAATTATTACTTTATACGGCTTAAATTAAGAAAAATTCAATGTTTAAACAAATTTTCATTTTTCTGAAAAACAGTAAGAGACCGCCAAAAAAAACTCAGATTCGTAACTATATAACCTCAAAATGGAGTGTATACAAATTATTTTTGTGAAAATCGGACGATTTCCAGTTTTTCCAATAATTACGTTCTTTTTTGAGGAATAATATTGTTTTTTTTATTTTAATTTAATAGAAAATCTGTCGATCTGGGAAAGAACAAAGTTATGGTACCTCTACAGTTTATGTTGAATGGAAGAAAGCAACAAGTGTATGGTTTTGGATCGAATAAAGTTGTGGCCAAGAAGGCCGCCGCTAAGTTGGCTTTGCGCCAGCTAACCAACTAATCGACCTCTCACACTTATTATTTACCTATATGTTTAGTACTAGCGGATCAGGCCAACTTCATACCGCATAAAGCTCAATGCGTACTTGAATCGGCTCAGCTCAACGCGTACTTGAATACAGCACATCACAGCTCCGCTAGTGGTGTCGTTCTAACGGGTGTAGTTTAAAATTCGAGAAAAATAATTTTTTCGTCTGGTTTGGTCTGTGTGACTGGAAGCGTTTTTTTCTTGAAGTGTTAATTTTGACAGTTTTATGCCAATTAAGTAATTATTATTATAAGTATTAGTATTATTTAATAAGTGACGATTGGAGATTGACCTCGCCAAAATTATTATCGGTTGTCATTTCCCAGCTGTCTTTGACGCCATTTCCTTTTCGATCATACGGTATACCATACTATGCGATGAAAGAAACGGCGTTATAGATGGCTGGGGAATGACAATCGATGATAATTTTAACCAGGTCAAGTCCTAGACGTCATTACTTGTTCCGTACTCTTCTTTATTATTTATTGAAGCTTACTGCCAGTTGGCCTTAAGAAGGTTGCAATTTATTTTTATTATGATTATTGTTAGTTCCCAGTAGTTAATATGCAGAAAAAAATCGTGGGTGTTTGGGAAAGCTTGAAAGGAAACAATGTTTTGCGACGTTTCGCGACTTTATTGTCACTTCTTCAGGCACTATAGGAGAAGCAGTTTTTTTTAAATATCAAAATAAAATCAACTGACCACTTACCCAAAACATATATTAATCCACATTATGCCTACAAACATTCATGGCGATTCCAACCGCCAACACTAAGACACATACAAACGAATCGAACAGAAACTTAACGGGTATTTTTTGGCCCGATATACACTGATGCTTGGTTTGTGTCGTACTGACACCAGTTGAATTCATTTCGGTACCAAAAAAAGGATTGATTTTTTGTTTCCTTTATCATTAATTTCTTTCCCCGTGTCTCTGGTGCTCTTTAGAGCCCTAGTCAATTCCCTATATGTGCAGACCGGTCGGCATCGCCATAAACAAATAAACGGAATCATAATGTGGGCCCGATAGTAATTAAAATTAAATATTTTTTTTTAATTGTTTGTCAACAAATAAAAGATAATAGACTAAAAAAATATTAAAAATTAAAGAAACATAATATAAAAGAAGCAAAAAATGCGTTTAGTTAAAATCGAATGAAAACTAAAATAAATAATACATTGAGTACACAAGTAGGTATATAATATGTATAAACAAAAATAATTAACAGGTGTAGATAAAACAACCATAAAACTTCAATGTGGCAATATCAATACTGGCAATACTGCCATAACAATAACTCTGCACAAGGAAGAAACACACAATCGCGACGGAAAAAGTAAAACTTGTTAACGGTCAGGTTTAAAGCTTTAAAGAAAGACACAAAAAATGTTCATACCAAAAAAAAACCCTGCATGGTTAAACCTTTTTTCTTTAATTAATTTTTTTGTACTTATTTAAAACGTTGCTATATATTACACTGAGACCCTGGGTATCAGACCTCATGTTGACCGTTTTGTTCAAATTAATATGAATCATTCCGCCTATGTTGCGTTTATACCAGTTTGGTTCTCTCTCGAGAACCATAACATCATCAAAATCAAATTCATGTCCGGTGCAAAATGGTGTGAGGCCAAAGCAGTTTTATCCTTTTCAGATTTGTTCCGAGTATTGCAATCATTTCTATGTTGATTAATCCTATTACCTAAATATTGCTTAGTCTGACCTATGTAACAACTGCCCCAAGAACGAGGTATGCTGTAAAATAAGTTGGATTGTTTTAGCAACGGAGTTGGATCTTTGATCTTAGTATACAAGAACGATGTCGTTTTTGAATTATAAAATGCTAATTTAGTGTTAGTGTTCATAAAGCATCGATTTATTTTATGTGAAAGGTTATCAATAAAAGGAAATCTGACATATTTAGTTCCAGGTTCAACTAACGAGGTACTCAGTTTTTTAGATTTATTCCTGTTAATACATCGGTTTATAAAGCTTGAAGGATAATTGTTCTGATGTAAAATGGTCTTGATAGTCTTAATATTTTTGCTAAAAAAAGATGGGTGGAACTAAATATGTCAGATTTCCTTTTATTGATAACCTTTCACATAAAATAAATCGATGCTTTATGACCACTAACACTAAATTAGCATTTTATAATTCAAAAACGACATCGTTCTTGTATACTAAGATCAAAGATCCAACTCCGTTGCTAAAACAATCCAACTTATTTTACAGCATACCTTGTTCTTGCGGCAGTTGTTATATAGGTCAGACTAAGCAATATTTAGATAATAGGATTAATCAACATAGAAATGATTGCAATACTCGGAACAAATCTAAAAAGGATAAAACTACTTTGGCCTCACACCATTTTGACACCGGACATGAATTTGATTTTGATGATGTTATGGTTCTCGAAAGAGAACCAAACTGGTATAAACGCAACATAGGCGGAATGATTCATATTAATTTGAACAAAACGGTCAACATGAGGTCTGATACCCAGGGTCTCAGTGTAATATATAGGAACATTTTAAATAAGTACAAAAAAATTAATGAAAGAAGAAGGGTTTAACCATGCAGGGTTTTTCTTGTTTTTTTTTGGGGTATGTTGGGGGTGCTTTCGGGTGTGAACATTTTGTGTGTCTTTCTTTAAAGCTTTAAACCTGACCGTTATCAAGTCTTACTTTTTCCGTCGCGATTGTGTGTTTCTTCCTTGTGCAGAGTTATTGTTTGGCAATATTGCCAGTATTGATATTCCCACATTGAAGTTTTATGGTTGTTTTATCTACACCTGTTAATTATTTTTGTTTATACATATATACCTACTTGTGTACTCAATGTATTATTTATTTTAGTTTTCATTCGATTTTAACTAAACGAATTTTTTGCTTCTTTTATATTATGTTTCTTTAATTTTTAATATTTTTTTAGTCTTTTATCTTTTATTTGTTGACAAATAATTTTTAAAAAATTATTTAATTTTAATTACTATCGGGCCCATATTATGATTCCGTTTGTTTGTTTATGGCGATGCCGACCGGTCTGCATATATAGGGAATTGACTAGGGCTCTTAAGAGCACCAGAGACACGGGGAAAGAAATTAATGATAAAGGAAACAAAAAATCAATCCTTTTTTTGGTACCGAAATGAATTCAACTGGTGTCAGTACGACACAAACCGAGCATCGGTGTATATCGGGTCAAAAAATAACCGTTAAGTTTTTGTTCGATTCGTCTGTATGTGTCTTAGTGTTGGCGGTTGGAATCGCCATGAATGTTTGTAGGTATAATGTGGACTAATATGTGTTTTGGGTAAGTGGTCAGTTGATTTTATTTTGATATTTAAAAAAAAATGCTTCTCCTATAGTGCCCGAAGAAGCGACAATAAAGTCGCGAAACGTCGCAAAAACATTGTTTCCTTTCAAGCCTTCCCAAACACCCACGATTTTTTTTCTGCATTTATTTTGATATTGAGTAAAAATGATTTTTAAATGGCGTAAAATAAAATACTAAATCACCACAATACACCCAAACGCTTACTTTTGCACTGGATGCGTGTTTCGCTGTTGGTGTATTGTGGTGAGAGAGAGATTTAGTGTCTTATTAGTGTCTTATTTAAAAAAAAAGGTTCCAACTTTTTCATATTTTTGGCGGGTTTTTAGGGTATTTTGGGGGTTTTTGATGTGAACGTATTAAATTTTTAAGCGTTGAGAGCACTGAATGACGTCTAGGAGATTTACCACGATAGGATATTGGATGCATGAAAATCCACCTTATGAAGGACGACCGTGTTGAAAACTGCCGTCGGTCAGTTTCAGTCTTCCGTTTTACCTGACACACAAAACTGACGGGTAAAATTTTATGTGTAGATGGCTTTAGTAATACACATAACCACAATATAAACATATCTAAGTAAATAAAAAAGTCGGGTTACACCATTTCTAATTAAAGGCAGGATACCTATTCTTCACATCTCGCATCTCCGAGAAGTGTCAAGAATAGGTACCCTGGACCGATCTTAATAACCTATTTCTTGATTCGTCTCCACCCCGAATTGCAGAATAACTAACCATCACTTCACTTCACTGTTAACCTCAAAGAGCACTGAATCGGCTCAGCGCGGCACGATACAACCGATAACCTGCGCCTAGGGTTTCTGCTCGAGAATTCTCGAGAAATTTGTCTTTAGTCGAGACGGGAAAAGACAACTCGACGCCTTGAGAACTCGAAAACTCAATTTTGGGCGGATGATACGGCGTGAAAGGCGGCTGGGGAATGACAATCGATGATCATTTTGGCGAGGTAAATCTCTAGACGTCATTTACTAAAAATTGACATAAAACTTGTCAAAAGTTAATACTAATTCTAGAAATATTAAAAAAGAATAGAACGTTTCCAGCCACACAAACCAAAAAATTATTTTTCTCGAATTTTAAACTACACCATTTAAAAATCATTTTTACTCAATATAAATATAAATTACAACCTTCTTAAGACCAACTGGCAGTAAGCGCCATTAAAAAATAAAGAAGAGTACGGGCCAAGTAATGACGTCTCAGGCTTGACCTCGCCAAAATTATCATCGATTGTCATTACCCAGCCGTCTTGGACGTCTTTTTTCGATCGTATGGTATAAAACCGTATGATTGAAAAGAAAATGGCGTCGAAGACTGCTGGGGAATGACAATCGATGATAATTTTGGCGAGGTCAAGCCTGAGACGTCATTACTTGGCCCGTACTCTTCTTTATTTTTTAATGGCGCTTACTGCCAGTTGGCCTTAAGAAGGTTGTAATTTATATTTATATTGAGTAAAAATGATTTTTAAATGGTGTAGTTTAAAATTCGAGAAAAATAATTTTTTTGTTTTGTGTGGCTGGAAACATTTTATCGTTTTTTAATCTATTTATAATTAGTGTTAATTTTTACAAGTTTTATGTCAATTTTTAGTAAATGACGTCAGAGATTTACCTCGCCAAAATGATCATCGATTGTCATTCCCCAACCGTCTTTCACGCCGTATCATCCGCCCAGAATTGAGTTTTCGACTTCTCAAGGCGTGGAGTTGTTTTTTCCCGTCTCGACTAAAGACAAATTTCTCGAGAATTCTCGAGCAGAAACCCTAGGCGCAGGTCATCGGTTGTATCGTGCCGCGCTGAGCCTTTGAGCTTAACAGTGAAGTGAAGTGATGGTTAGTTATTCCGCAATTCGGGGTGGAGACGAATCAAGAAATAGGTCATTAAGATCGGTCCAGGGTACCTATTCTTGACAATTCTCGGAGATGCAAGAGGTGAAGAATAGGTATCCTGTCTTTAATTACAAATGGTGTAACCCGACTTTTTTATTTACTTAGATATGTTTATATTGTGATTATGTGTATTACTAAAGCCATCTACACATAATATTTTACCTGTCAGTTTTGTGTCAGGTAAACCAGAAGACTAAAACTGACT